AGGGGATGGAGAGATAGAGAGTGGTCATGTGTCATATCTTGCAAGAGGTCAGACTTAAAGATTTTACTTGTTTTATAAAGCTCATCTCGACCCTCAAAATTAAGACTTTTGCTATTTTATAATAATTAAAAATATATAAATTTTTTATAACAAAATCTCATAACAGATGGCATCATATACAATTTTAGTAATTTATTTTGATTAATAATACAAATGTTATTTTTAAAATGAAATCTCGTAAAAGCCAGGAAAGTTATGCAACTCATTGCTAGATTTTTTTTTATATAACTTACAAGGTAAAGTCAAAATTTATATTCATCTGCAATTTAATTTATTGTGAGTACACAATTTTTAAATCATGTTATCATCATCATGGTCATGATAACATTTCAATTAACTTAAGTTGCTGTTAACTACTCATGCATAAAATCAATGACATCACTTGACGTGACTGAAAAATTTTTTACCATGAATTTGCTAGGGTTTGAATTCTTTATACAGTGGTGCCTCGGTATATGTCTGCTTTAGAATATGTCCAATATGGAATACATCCTGTTTGGACGAAACAAATTTTGCTCAGTATATGACTTTTGTTCGGTATACAACTATTCAATTATACACGCCCTCTATGAACAAGTAGCACTATTGGTGTACTAGACCAGACTAGACGTTTGCAGTGCCACAGTTTATAACTTTGTTAAATTTCTTCTGATTTTAATTTGTAAGTAAAATTTTATTATTTTCATTAATCATGAATTGCAAAAAGGCAAATGAAAAGCAACAGAAAACTAAAAAAATGACTAGAATCATAATGGAATTGAGAAAAAAGATTGTTGAGAAATGTGAAGGTGGCATGCGTGTTCAAGATTTAACTGTTGCATACTGTATTCCGAGAACGATGATATTGACAATCATGAAAAATAAAGACATTATTAAATCTGCTAACATTGCGAAAGGAGTTAAATCAAGTTCTAAACAGAGATCGAAGACATTAGATCATTTTGAGAAATTGCTTTTGCTTTGGATAACTGAAAAACAGTGTGCTGGCGACATCGTATCATAAGCAATTATTTGCGAGAAATCTAAAAAGATACATGTTGATCTCATGAAAAATCAAGCAGAAACTAGCCAGGAAAGCGAGGTGTTTCAAGCCAGCCATTTTTTTTTACATGAGAACGGATTAATCATTTTTACATTACTTCTTATGGGGAAGGTTGGTTTGGTATATATCCTATTCAGTATAAGTCCAAACATCAGGAACGGATTAAGGTCGTATACTGAGGTTCCACTGTAATTGTTTATTTATCATCAAGATTTGTAGTTTTATCAGAATTGTGAATATTTTTTTATATTTTAAACTATTAGTTCTTTTTTTATACTCTTCATCTATCAACAACATTATGGTACTTTTTCAGACAACATAACTTTGAATTTTAAAAAAGTACTTGAAAATCATTTTTTTAAAATTTTTTCTTACAATACATACTAATACAAAACAAGAATCAGTAATTTTATATACATTTATTTTAAATTTGAAATCAAATTATTTAAGTGAATATAAGTAATTTGGTTTAAAAATATCTTATAATTCTAAATATATAAAAAAATCTATTTATAATTTTATCATCTAATTTTCATTTTCAACAGTTTAATGATAACAACAAATCTTTGTTTTATCAAGATCAAAGTTCAGATCTTGAACTTGTCAGAAATATAAATATTTAAATAGATATTGAATTATTATTAAACAAATAGCAGTTAGAAGTGCACAGAAATATTAATTTTAAAAATTAAGTTGTTTTGCATGCAACTTACATAAATTAATAGATTGTTCTTTTTTACATGAAGAATTTCTTAAGGAAAAAAATTCAGAGCAATGGCCATTTCTTTTACATTTTTATCAACATTTATCATCAATGTTTAAAGGTGAAAATATGAATAGAAAAGTCTTTGTATTTTCTAATCAGGACATTTAAAGTAATTTTATTTACTTGATAAAGTATTATCTCCAGAGAAATTCCTAGATTTCTCATTCTTTATAAATAACATCAGAAATTTCAGTTTATAAATCACAACATATTAATTAAAACAAATAAGTCATATATAAAAAAATCAGCTGCTACACTTTTTTACATGACTTTCCTTACATTTATGCTATTTTATATCTGTAATATTGGATGTGTATCATTTAATTGCTATTCTCATTTTAAATTTTCATATAATTCAAAGCAATATTTATTAACTTACAGAGTATGTAAATGCTTTGTTTTTTCACAAATATATTACGTGATCACTTTATTCTTTTAGTGACTTTATAATTTAAGAATTTTTTTAATAGCATAGCATAGCTGATATTAAAAAAATTATCATAGTTTAATACATTTGTTATGCTAAGATATTTGGTCAATGAACTTTCTCTTAATTCAATAATCAATTTTAAATAATTATTAGAAACATGACTTTAACCTGTTTTACTAAAGATGCAGGAAAACTTTTTGTCATAAAGCTCAAATAGAGATTCATTGTGTATCCATTTCTTACAATATGATTTTTTATTTTTTTCCACCAAACAAATATCTATATGAGCTCAGTATCTGAAAATATTGTCTTTATTCAGAATAATAAAAATGAATTTGAAAGATTCGATATTAAATTTAGAATTCTGGTTTTTTTGTGAATTGGCAACATTAAATTGACAAAAAGTCATAATTTACATTGGTATTTAGCAATGTTAAAATTTTTTCAATAAAGTATAAGAAATATTTGTAATGTATACTAAAAACTCAATAGTTTAATTACATATAGGTTAACTCAACACTTAGTTAACTAAGCTCTATTTTAATATCAGTTTAAAAGTAGTTAAAGCCAGTTTGGAACAACTACTTTTTGTTATTCAGGATTTGTTGCTTCCAATGAAGCAAACCATGAATAACATGCACCTAACTGAATCTGTTCCAAACCAGTTTTAACTATTTAAAGTAATATTAAAATAATCTATGTTAATGATTTTTGGGTTATCCTGTATAGCTGTATTTCTAGAATGTAAAACATGTTTACAGTTTATAAATAAAGATATATTTTGTTCTTATGCTTTTTGGTCCATGTATATTATTCATATAATTATTAGGTTGGCTATTTTCACCATTAAGTACAAACTAATAACACACCACAAAACTCTTTAATTATCACGTCAAATCCCAGTATATATTTTGGCCTTTACAATAGCCTCATCCTACAGTACAATTTTTTGTTAAAAAGCTTAATAATAGATATACTGATAGGTATAACATTTTAATAATTTTTGCTGATTATATTTTTATGTTCAGTAATATGCAAAGATGCAAATTAAAGAAAAGTTATTAAGCTAGAGTTTGAACTTCCATTTCTTTACCAAGAATAAATAAAGATTCTTGTCTACCAATTAATTTGCTTAACAACCTACCACAGGAAGAGCACTCGGTCATTATGTGAGGAGTGTCTGTAATACACAGTGGCTGAAGAATTCTCTATTTAATATTTTAAAAAAATTGTTCATGAATATTCATTGGTGCTCTAAGATATTGCTGTGATATGAGAAGGCACTATATAAAGGTTAGACTGTACTTATAAGTAAAAATACTGAATCATTCTTGAGGAAAGAATAGTGTGTGAAAATTTTCAGGAAAGAGTAAACTTCAGAATCTCTACAACAAAATTTATATTCAGCATAAATAATTCAAAAGTATGCTTGGTCCAAAGAGATGCTTATAGCAAGTTGTCATGATTCAGTTGATGACAATATTTTCCTAGTTCACAAATATTCAAAAAATAGATACAAATTTGTATATAAATATAAATGAAAATAAAAGAATAGCTTTTAATGTATGTTCTGTCTTAGCATCTATCAACTAAACACAGATTTATAAGTTAACAGATATGCAAATAAATATTACAAATATAACAGTTCATTTATGTTTGTTAAAAATATTTTGTTGTATTGGCAAGTTACATTTTGTTTATGTTATTTATGTTTATTATTATTTTTTTAACAAAACATAAATAGTTTCAATATAATAACCTATCACCATCACTAACTTTTGAAAAATAGAATCATCATTTATAGATATAACATAACATACTAGACAATATTTCCTCTTAGACCTAAGTCTAAGAAACTGATATCCATCCAACAACTTAAAACTTTGAATGGACAAATGTCTTTAAATTTTTATTCTTTGCTAGCAAGACTTCTATTAACCTAAAATAAAATATTTGTGTCTTTCTCAATGTTTTTATTTTAAACTATATACACTTGGGGATGAGTCCATTTTTACGACACTTTAATAAAAACCAAAGTTGAGCTTTTTGCTTCAACCACAATGTTCTGGTATTCAATAAAGTAAAGAAGGGTTTTCTATTAGTTTCCATAATGATAATAAATTACACTTTACCCCAGCTTTCAAAGATCTTATTGGAAACTAATAGAAAACATTTCTTTACTTTATTGAATACTAGAACATTGTGGTTGAAGCAAAAAGCTCAACTTTGGTTTTTATTAAACTATATACTTTTCAGAATTTTAAAATATATGCAAAACAGGCAAAAGTCCGAAAACCTGATGTTTAAACATGATTATAATATTAAATGAATATCTTATCAATTTAATATAATTGTTTTCTGTAGGAAAGAAAATATTTTCTGTACGATCAAAGATATTTTTGTATCATTGCTTATTCATAAAGGATATTACATTACTTATCTATTTTAAAAACTAAAATAGATCATTTCTATATTCAAATAAATTAAAATGAATGGTGTAATAAAAAAATAAAAAAATTAAAAATTATTTATTGTAGTAAAGAAAATTTGATATTAAATACATATTTTAAGTATGTAAAATTATTAAAACTAGATGCATGATTTAATAAACATTCTATATATGTAGGCCTACATACTTAAAATTTGCAGTAATATACTTAAATTCATTAATGATTCATTTGTGAAATTTATGAAATTATTACCAGTAAATGCACCAGAAATATTGATGCTTCGTTTCTTTAGTCCCCACCCAGCCATTACTATGGGTATCAAGAATGATAGGAGCCATCTTAATGGAGAAGGTGGATTAAGTACATCTGAAATGAAGTTAAAACATTCAAATTTTAATAACTATGAAATTCAAAATTGTTTACTTTATAATATAAATGTAGTGCATATCTTGCAATTGTAGTCAACCCAATAACACTTCGTACTATTTACCTGCCAAGCCATTGTTCAAACTAAATTAAATTAAACTGTAACTCTCCCTTCTACAGGAATCACCCATAACAGGTAATAAGTAAAATATTATTGTATTGTATCATTTTTATTTCTCTCCATAATTCAAAAAAATTTTATATAAACTGGATAAACACTACTATTGGTAATTTTTGAAATGACATTAAAAAAATTATGCATTTTGTTATAAAATAGCAATTATTATAAATGATATTAACTACCATAACAGCATGACATGTTGACTTCCTTTAACTTCTGTGAAAAAAATATGAACATAATTTAAATTAAGACATGTTATGATTTAAAAAACTATATACACTAAATAAAAAGTGATTATTAATCTATTTTATTAAAAAACTTTCTAGACTTTCAATATATTTATTTTTCTTCTTTTTATGAGTAAGCATTAATATTCAATATTAATAAAGATTGGTTTATTTGTATACAGAAACATGACACATGGGAGAGCTACCGAGGGGATACCTCTTGGGAGGTCTTTTCTGGGAAATTGGCCCCCTATTTAGGTGTTAATAATAAGAAGAAAAACTCCATGTGGTTAGTCCATTGGCAAGGCATGATCCCACAACCAATTATTAGTGTTCAGTGGTTAAAAGTAGCCTTATAAATAATGTTAACATATATTATTATTTCAATGAATTTATAAAAACATGTTATAAAAACAGAACATAAAAATTTCTGTCATAGTTCATTGTTAAATTAATGACATCAAATACTCTACTCAACAAAAATATAATTAATGTAAAAAAATAGAATTGTCGGGTATTAATGTATTGCGGCTACGACCGCGACTATGTAATCTTAACTACCTGCAAAGCATATGCGAAGCAGGTTAATTAAAAGAGGAGTACCTCAAGCCAGTAGCATTTAATGCTGCAGGTCAGAGGGATTGCTCCTCTAAATGTGTGTGTGTGTTCAGTGGTTTTATCCACTCAGCTACTGATGGGCTGAGTGGATAAAACCACTGAACACTATAATGAATCACTTCCTGGTTAATATCATAATATTAATTCAGATTTAAAATATGGTGTTTTGAATCATTTATATGAATTACTTTTTTAAACAATGTATATTTTTATTAAAAACATATAATTGCATTTAATTTTTAAATTATTACACTTAAATAATTTTGAAAATTACATTAAACATAGAGTATATTGTTTGAATACTGTAAAATACAAATCCATTGATAACATAAAGTGTAATTATTTTTTTATAAATACATAATTGAAAATTATTTACTAAATTCTGACAATTTTAGTTAATTCAAAAATTATTATTTAATAGTTTCCACTTTCTGAAATGAAATTTAAAATCTTCCACTGTAAAATTTTTAATAATAATATAAACAGACAAATATAGCAAATTATGATATAAATGAAAATAACTACAAAACAGATAGCAATAGCATACCAATGTTTTAAAGCCTTAACAAATAACCATGTACTGTACATTGCAAATATTTTTATTTCTATTTTAGTTCAATTTAATTTATTAAAGTGCAATATCACAGAATACAAATAGCTATAGAAAGCTCTAAACAATAACTTATAAATAAGTTATTAAATAAAATTTTAACTTCACTATTTTAAGTAAAATATCCATTCTCAAAATAGGATTTAACCTACAATCTGGCAAATAAAGAAATACCTAAACTATACTGCCAAATTTTAAAAAACTTGTTTAATAGATTATTAAAAATAATCTGAATAGATCCTATTTAATGCTGTATAAGTATTCAAATTTTTATAATCAATCCAATGGATAAATTGTTTTACAATGCTTTATTATCCATCATAAAAATGTTAAAAAATAAATATATTTATTTATCTCAAAGTTCTCAAAAGGTAAATCAAGAAAATATTTCTTCATATTTGAAAAATTAATATAAATTAAAATATAAAAACTTAAGATATATTTTAAAAAGTTACAATGCTCAAAACAGTTGATTTTGTAATACTTTTTGTTGTACATAGTTGATTTTTATTCACAAATCAGAGCACAATTGTCGTTTTGTTATCTAGCCATTTAAATCATGGGTTCTCAACCTTTTTTTTTTACCCATGTCACCTTTTCCTCTTAAGTTTTTTTTGTGGACCCCCCCATACATTGCACAGAAAAAAAACCTTATTCAAATTGGAAAAATATTTTAATAGTGAAGCTCTGAATTTTAGAAAAAATAACTACTGTATTTATGAACTAGTACTTTTAATACCTCTTACCTTGTCAAGATGGAGTTTTCACAGAACTGAAGGTTAGGGTTAAAATAAACTGATTAACTTTATACTGGAAGGAGGCTATAAATCTTAAGATTTTTCCCTAATCTTCAAGATCTGGAACAAACTGATGCAAAACATTCAGAAATGTCACTGTCAAGTGACATGATGCTAATGGTATAAGATTCTCCTAACAGACCCTGGTTTTATAATCTCTCTTTGACCTTTGTCAATGAGATATATATGTTGTTTATGTACAGGGCCGGATCATCGAATAAACAAATGAGACAAATGTCTAGGGCCCAATTTTTAGAAGGGCCCAGTCAAACTGTCTATTTTTAAAAGATTTGTAAATAAGATGGTTTACTTTTCTGTTGGACAACTGTTTGTTTGTTTAGTTATGGCTACGCAACACTTGGGCGATCTGCCTAGGGAGATGCCTTCCAGGAGGTCTTTTAAGGGAAACTGGCCCCTATTTAGGTATTACAGATGTGGAAAAAACCCGGAAAACTCCATGTGGCCAGCCCATCCAAGCGAGGCGCAAACCCACGATCAAACTTCCAGTGTTCAGGGTACGAAGACTGCTTGGCCACTGGTGGGCCTTGTTGGACAACTGTATATAATAAACAAAAATATTTTGCTTTTTATATGGTTATTGTGAATTCTAAAATCTAAAGAAAATGTGTTATGTTTCTTCTTATTGAAAGTAAAACTCCCAATAATTTAAAATTTTTTTTTATAGTGATAACAATATTAACTATATGTATTCTTAACATCCTGTGAAATATTGTTAAATAATTTTGCCCTTATTTTTTATTAAGCAGCTGCAGTGTCAGTATGCAATTTAATAGAAATATTATTAACAAGATTTATTAACTGAAAGAGCCGGGAGGGGGCCCGGTAAGAAGAAAATGTCTAGGGTCTCAAAGTGGGTTAATCCGACCCTGTTTACATATTCAAAATTTTAATTAATTTATATTTTAACCCTTATGCAAGAAATGAGTAATAAATAAATTGACAATATACTGTATATACCATGAGTGGGCAANTGGCATGCGTGTTCAAGATTTAACTGTTGCATACTGTATTCCGAGAACGATGATATCGACAATCATGAAAAATAAAGACATTATTAAATCTGCTAACATTGCGAAAGGAGTTAAATCAAGTTCTAAACAGAGATCGAAGACATTAGATCATTTTGAGAAATTGCTTTTGCTTTGGATAACTGAAAAACAGTGTGCTGGCGACATCGTATCATAAGCAATTATTTGCGAGAAATCTAAAAAGATACATGTTGATCTCATGAAAAATCAAGCAGAAACTAGCCAGGAAAGCGAGGTGTTTCAAGCCAGCCATTTTTTTTTACATGAGAACGGATTAATCATTTTTACATTACTTCTTATGGGGAAGGTTGGTTTGGTATATATCCTATTCAGTATAAGTCCAAACATCAGGAACGGATTAAGGTCGTATACTGAGGTTCCACTGTAATTGTTTATTTATCATCAAGATTTGTAGTTTTATCAGAATTGTGAATATTTTTTTATATTTTAAACTATTAGTTCTTTTTTTATACTCTTCATCTATCAACAACATTATGGTACTTTTTCAGACAACATAACTTTGAATTTTAAAAAAGTACTTGAAAATCATTTTTTTAAAATTTTTTCTTACAATACATACTAATACAAAACAAGAATCAGTAATTTTATATACATTTATTTTAAATTTGAAATCAAATTATTTAAGTGAATATAAGTAATTTGGTTTAAAAATATCTTATAATTCTAAATATATAAAAAAATCTATTTATAATTTTATCATCTAATTTTCATTTTCAACAGTTTAATGATAACAACAAATCTTTGTTTTATCAAGATCAAAGTTCAGATCTTGAACTTGTCAGAAATATAAATATTTAAATAGATATTGAATTATTATTAAACAAATAGCAGTTAGAAGTGCACAGAAATATTAATTTTAAAAATTAAGTTGTTTTGCATGCAACTTACATAAATTAATAGATTGTTCTTTTTTACATGAAGAATTTCTTAAGGAAAAAAATTCAGAGCAATGGCCATTTCTTTTACATTTTTATCAACATTTATCATCAATGTTTAAAGGTGAAAATATGAATAGAAAAGTCTTTGTATTTTCTAATCAGGACATTTAAAGTAATTTTATTTACTTGATAAAGTATTATCTCCAGAGAAATTCCTAGATTTCTCATTCTTTATAAATAACATCAGAAATTTCAGTTTATAAATCACAACATATTAATTAAAACAAATAAGTCATATATAAAAAAATCAGCTGCTACACTTTTTTACATGACTTTCCTTACATTTATGCTATTTTATATCTGTAATATTGGATGTGTATCATTTAATTGCTATTCTCATTTTAAATTTTCATATAATTCAAAGCAATATTTATTAACTTACAGAGTATGTAAATGCTTTGTTTTTTCACAAATATATTACGTGATCACTTTATTCTTTTAGTGACTTTATAATTTAAGAATTTTTTTAATAGCATAGCATAGCTGATATTAAAAAAATTATCATAGTTTAATACATTTGTTATGCTAAGATATTTGGTCAATGAACTTTCTCTTAATTCAATAATCAATTTTAAATAATTATTAGAAACATGACTTTAACCTGTTTTACTAAAGATGCAGGAAAACTTTTTGTCATAAAGCTCAAATAGAGATTCATTGTGTATCCATTTCTTACAATATGATTTTTTATTTTTTTCCACCAAACAAATATCTATATGAGCTCAGTATCTGAAAATATTGTCTTTATTCAGAATAATAAAAATGAATTTGAAAGATTCGATATTAAATTTAGAATTCTGGTTTTTTTGTGAATTGGCAACATTAAATTGACAAAAAGTCATAATTTACATTGGTATTTAGCAATGTTAAAATTTTTTCAATAAAGTATAAGAAATATTTGTAATGTATACTAAAAACTCAATAGTTTAATTACATATAGGTTAACTCAACACTTAGTTAACTAAGCTCTATTTTAATATCAGTTTAAAAGTAGTTAAAGCCAGTTTGGAACAACTACTTTTTGTTATTCAGGATTTGTTGCTTCCAATGAAGCAAACCATGAATAACATGCACCTAACTGAATCTGTTCCAAACCAGTTTTAACTATTTAAAGTAATATTAAAATAATCTATGTTAATGATTTTTGGGTTATCCTGTATAGCTGTATTTCTAGAATGTAAAACATGTTTACAGTTTATAAATAAAGATATATTTTGTTCTTATGCTTTTTGGTCCATGTATATTATTCATATAATTATTAGGTTGGCTATTTTCACCATTAAGTACAAACTAATAACACACCACAAAACTCTTTAATTATCACGTCAAATCCCAGTATATATTTTGGCCTTTACAATAGCCTCATCCTACAGTACAATTTTTTGTTAAAAAGCTTAATAATAGATATACTGATAGGTATAACATTTTAATAATTTTTGCTGATTATATTTTTATGTTCAGTAATATGCAAAGATGCAAATTAAAGAAAAGTTATTAAGCTAGAGTTTGAACTTCCATTTCTTTACCAAGAATAAATAAAGATTCTTGTCTACCAATTAATTTGCTTAACAACCTACCACAGGAAGAGCACTCGGTCATTATGTGAGGAGTGTCTGTAATACACAGTGGCTGAAGAATTCTCTATTTAATATTTTAAAAAAATTGTTCATGAATATTCATTGGTGCTCTAAGATATTGCTGTGATATGAGAAGGCACTATATAAAGGTTAGACTGTACTTATAAGTAAAAATACTGAATCATTCTTGAGGAAAGAATAGTGTGTGAAAATTTTCAGGAAAGAGTAAACTTCAGAATCTCTACAACAAAATTTATATTCAGCATAAATAATTCAAAAGTATGCTTGGTCCAAAGAGATGCTTATAGCAAGTTGTCATGATTCAGTTGATGACAATATTTTCCTAGTTCACAAATATTCAAAAAATAGATACAAATTTGTATATAAATATAAATGAAAATAAAAGAATAGCTTTTAATGTATGTTCTGTCTTAGCATCTATCAACTAAACACAGATTTATAAGTTAACAGATATGCAAATAAATATTACAAATATAACAGTTCATTTATGTTTGTTAAAAATATTTTGTTGTATTGGCAAGTTACATTTTGTTTATGTTATTTATGTTTATTATTATTTTTTTAACAAAACATAAATAGTTTCAATATAATAACCTATCACCATCACTAACTTTTGAAAAATAGAATCATCATTTATAGATATAACATAACATACTAGACAATATTTCCTCTTAGACCTAAGTCTAAGAAACTGATATCCATCCAACAACTTAAAACTTTGAATGGACAAATGTCTTTAAATTTTTATTCTTTGCTAGCAAGACTTCTATTAACCTAAAATAAAATATTTGTGTCTTTCTCAATGTTTTTATTTTAAACTATATACACTTGGGGATGAGTCCATTTTTACGACACTTTAATAAAAACCAAAGTTGAGCTTTTTGCTTCAACCACAATGTTCTGGTATTCAATAAAGTAAAGAAGGGTTTTCTATTAGTTTCCATAATGATAATAAATTACACTTTACCCCAGCTTTCAAAGATCTTATTGGAAACTAATAGAAAACATTTCTTTACTTTATTGAATACTAGAACATTGTGGTTGAAGCAAAAAGCTCAACTTTGGTTTTTATTAAACTATATACTTTTCAGAATTTTAAAATATATGCAAAACAGGCAAAAGTCCGAAAACCTGATGTTTAAACATGATTATAATATTAAATGAATATCTTATCAATTTAATATAATTGTTTTCTGTAGGAAAGAAAATATTTTCTGTACGATCAAAGATATTTTTGTATCATTGCTTATTCATAAAGGATATTACATTACTTATCTATTTTAAAAACTAAAATAGATCATTTCTATATTCAAATAAATTAAAATGAATGGTGTAATAAAAAAATAAAAAAATTAAAAATTATTTATTGTAGTAAAGAAAATTTGATATTAAATACATATTTTAAGTATGTAAAATTATTAAAACTAGATGCATGATTTAATAAACATTCTATATATGTAGGCCTACATACTTAAAATTTGCAGTAATATACTTAAATTCATTAATGATTCATTTGTGAAATTTATGAAATTATTACCAGTAAATGCACCAGAAATATTGATGCTTCGTTTCTTTAGTCCCCACCCAGCCATTACTATGGGTATCAAGAATGATAGGAGCCATCTTAATGGAGAAGGTGGATTAAGTACATCTGAAATGAAGTTAAAACATTCAAATTTTAATAACTATGAAATTCAAAATTGTTTACTTTATAATATAAATGTAGTGCATATCTTGCAATTGTAGTCAACCCAATAACACTTCGTACTATTTACCTGCCAAGCCATTGTTCAAACTAAATTAAATTAAACTGTAACTCTCCCTTCTACAGGAATCACCCATAACAGGTAATAAGTAAAATATTATTGTATTGTATCATTTTTATTTCTCTCCATAATTCAAAAAAATTTTATATAAACTGGATAAACACTACTATTGGTAATTTTTGAAATGACATTAAAAAAATTATGCATTTTGTTATAAAATAGCAATTATTATAAATGATATTAACTACCATAACAGCATGACATGTTGACTTCCTTTAACTTCTGTGAAAAAAATATGAACATAATTTAAATTAAGACATGTTATGATTTAAAAAACTATATACACTAAATAAAAAGTGATTATTAATCTATTTTATTAAAAAACTTTCTAGACTTTCAATATATTTATTTTTCTTCTTTTTATGAGTAAGCATTAATATTCAATATTAATAAAGATTGGTTTATTTGTATACAGAAACATGACACATGGGAGAGCTACCGAGGGGATACCTCTTGGGAGGTCTTTTCTGGGAAATTGGCCCCCTATTTAGGTGTTAATAATAAGAAGAAAAACTCCATGTGGTTAGTCCATTGGCAAGGCATGATCCCACAACCAATTATTAGTGTTCAGTGGTTAAAAGTAGCCTTATAAATAATGTTAACATATATTATTATTTCAATGAATTTATAAAAACATGTTATAAAAACAGAACATAAAAATTTCTGTCATAGTTCATTGTTAAATTAATGACATCAAATACTCTACTCAACAAAAATATAATTAATGTAAAAAAATAGAATTGTCGGGTATTAATGTATTGCGGCTACGACCGCGACTATGTAATCTTAACTACCTGCAAAGCATATGCGAAGCAGGTTAATTAAAAGAGGAGTACCTCAAGCCAGTAGCATTTAATGCTACAGGTCAGAGGGAGTGCTCCACTAAATGTAAATG